GTTTCTCCAGTACCAGGTCCATTGCAAATGAATGGTTTGCAGAACACGGAAGACCTATTGGCATGCGAAGTGTTTACCGACGAATGAGAAGTTTTGGCTTGTTTTCACACCGGCCACACTGGGTCCTCCCTTTAACTCGAGAACACCGACGTAATCGCCTTGAGTGGTGCAGACAACGGTAACTCTGGGATCAGGAATGGAACAGTATATTGTCTTTAGTGACGAGTCTCGATTTTGTTTAGGCATGCACGATGGTCGTGCCAGGGTTAGAAGGCGACGTGGTGAAAGGAGGAATCCACAGTTTTTTGTTGAAAGACACGTTCATCACACTGTTGGAGTTATGGTTTGGGGTGCTATAGCTTATGGTTCCAGGTCACCTTTAATCTTCATCAGAGGTAACATGAACGCGCAGCGTTATATCCACGAAGTTCTAGAACCCCATCTTTTACTCTATCTTGACACCCTGGCAGATCGACTTTCCAACAAGATAATGCCCGACCACATGTTGCAAGAGTCACAATAGACTTCTTTCAACATAATGATGTCACATTGTTACCATGGCCACCAAGATCTCCCGACTTATCCCCAATTGAGCACGTGTGGGATATGATGGGTAGGAGATTGCTCAATTTGCAACGTCCTCCTCAGACTCTAGAAGCACTTCGAGAGGAGTTGGTGGTTGCCTGGAATGAGATATCACAGGAGGACATTGACCACCTGATCAGAAAAATGCCTAGGCGCGTTGGAGAATGCGTAGCACATCAGGGTGCATCCACACATTATTAAAGGTCAAAGGGCTTTAAAGCAATGCAATCATTTTGAAATTTTTATCATTTACTTATTATGCTTCATTAAGTACTTATACAAAATTTCATTAAAATAAAACCATTTAAACTGGGTGTTCGGATTTATATGTCACTTAGTATATATGGGAAGCCCAACTCTTGCTCTCCGATTTTGCAACCAAAATATAAATGGTATGCCTTTTTAATTAAGGGAGTCATTTTGCGTTTTTGAGGCTGGAGGGTCACTTTACCACAAACGTAACAAAAGTTGTCTGGCTTATTTAGACAAGTGCGCGGCATATTCACTTTTCGAGAAAATACAGCTTGTCATTAACTAACGGTTGACCGAACACTAACATGTTTATACATATGTAAATAACATTTAAAAAGCAATTATTTCCTTATTATTCTTAGAGAAGGATGTTTTCCGCCTTCAGTATTGCTATTCAGGTATTTCCCATAAATTACAGGTACCGGAAAAACCAGAGCCAAAAGGGCGTTTTACCTGGCATATTCTTGTTTAACACAACAAGATTAACTAAAATTGGCTAATACCAGATACACTTTGACTGTTGACCAAACTGCGTCAAAGTTGACTGTATATCAAAATTACATCTGTCCAGAATTGCGAGCAAGTACAAAGGCAATCTACTTGACGTCATTATTTATTGATCTATCGATTACCGTCGGTTTGGCCTTGAATGCACTTGATAAAAAGCCACAGAAATTATGTATGAAACTTTTTTTAATAATGAAAATCCTTTGATCGCCGTATTAAAAAATCTGCAAATGATTAGCTGTTACATTTTAGTGCACTTGATGCGGCGTTTTATTCTATTTTTCGATATAGTTACTTTCATCCATAAATCTCGGTATATAAAAACTTAATTAGATTGGACTGTGACACCTTAATGATTCAAATACAAAAGAGCTGGCCCTGAAGTAAAAAAATAATGCTAGCATGCATTAAAAATTACACATGGCCCTCTAACAGCAGTTCCTATTTGGCAATAACCTTTAGTAATTGCTTGTTAGTGGATTTTGTGAGATGTGATTAGTAAATTTGCGTTGATTTAAACTAATTTATTAAATTAACGTAATTGACGACCGTCCCTACGTCGAGCAATTCCGCAACTTCCTGTTAAACGTTGAACAATAAAAGAAATTAATGGAAGTAGATAGGAACACTATTAAATGCGTAGTAAATGAAATCAACAACAAAAGTCATATACAGGAAAAACCAAATTTATCTGACGGCTTGAGTTCCATGTATACGAGAGAGAAGAACGAGGAGTGTGTATCAACACGTGTTAGAAAGAGATAGAAGCCGGTTGAAGAGCGAAGGTCATCACCAGATCGCCTAGCGACGGCGACGCAGTAGTTCGTCCAATCTGTCTCGTTAGATTATTCTCTATGCCCAAATGATGGTTTGATTTCCAGCGTACACATTTTTTGATTATGGATTGAGTCTAATATGTTTAGGATCGATTTCGAATCGGTCCTAATGGCGTTGCATTTTAGGTCAAAATGAAAGTGTCAGATTCGCCACAGATTCTGCAACATTGCATCATTGGTTTGTTTGGCAACACCTCATCTCGTACATTTCACGGCAAGGTTTCCACCTCCATAATCATAGATGAGCGATATTGGTCAGTACCCACCTAGCGCTCGTTGAGGAGTGACGCTCTGTTTCGAAAAGGTTTTCACCCGCGTGCACTCAGGCAGTGATAATTTGTATCGCCTAATGGTATTTGTTACAGTTTCTGACAATTTGATGTCGCAAAATGTAACTATAATATGTTGATTATATCTCCATTGGTGGAAATCAAACGTAATTCTGAAATAAATTAAAACTCTAAGTAGCACGAAAATTGAAATAAATAATTCTAATCAGTATGAATACAAAATATTAAACTAAGTTTGAACAGACCACCTTCTAGGGTTTGACAGTAACCTATCCTCTGCGAACATTTGCTGGTGTAACATATTGGCATCTCTACAGATAACGCGACCTTCTACGACACCGTTGCTAGGCGATGTGGTGATGACCTTCGATCTTCAGCGGGCTTCTATCTCTTTCTGACATGTATTGATACACACTTCTCTCTCGAACACAATTAACTCTAGCCGTCAGATAAATTTGGTTCTCAGTGTATATTAAGAAACGGAGCGTCAGTATTTTCGACATCGAAGGCGACACGCATTCGCAACAATTTTGTGTACAACGTCTTTGTGTTTTTAGAAGTTTTTATTTAGTCTGTGTATGTTAGCAAGATAAATCTTGAAACTGAATTTTGCCAGGTTCTCATGAGAATACTCAATAAATTACAATGCTACCATTTTGTATCCAATATATTGGAGGCTGCAAAATGACGATTTTATCCTGCTCCTATGGTATGAGTAGTAAAAGAAAATGCTTCGTGTGAGCAGCACACTAAGCAAGGTGACGTCATAACCAACATGGCGTCCGTTGCGAAATGACGATTTATCAATTCCATAATTTGTTACACGTATGGCATTAGTATCCAATAAAAGGGTTTGATTGGAGAAATACAATAAGTGAGGTGACGGCATTCTAAATCCCATATGGCGGACGATATTGGTATCTAATGAAAAAGCTGGATGAACGAAGCACATTATGTGAATCAACGTCATTTTACGCATAATATGACAATTTATTGTTTGTATGACCTGGAACTGATCTAAGGGTGAAAACACGGTTCAAGCTGCTTTCCTGCCTACCGGCAACCGGAGCCGATCGTTACCGAATTTCGGCGCTGCTTATGGACACAATGCTGACGAGAAAAAAGCAAATAAAGCCGACGTCTTATCAGTTCCAGCGTAGTCTGCGCGTCAACATGGTGACTAGCTCATCTGAAGATCAATTTATTGCATTGTAGCTAGAATAATTACTAGAAAGAAAGTTGGTATTCACCACATAAATCGTGAGAGGGTATATTATGGTGAATATCATCATTTGTTCAAGGCGTTGAAAGATGACCCCGACCGCCTTTTTAGTACACCAGAATGAATCGTGAAACATTCAATTATATTCTGTAAAAAGTTCTTATTCTAACTAAAAATTGATGTAACCTCCACAGTCTTAACTAACTTGCTATCCATTATCTACATCATTGATTCCCAAAGTGGTCTATATCCACCCCTAGGGGTCTATGACAACCTGCAAGGGGTCTACGTCAGTGAAAAAAGATGTGGGGGTCCATGAAATGAATATGGGGGTTCACGATGGTGGATCTCAACACATACACTGATAGTACCTATTTACTTACATCATACTATCTTATAATGTCAAAACATATACATTATTTATAAAAGTACCTATGAAGTAAAAAATTTATTATATATGTTTATAAAATTATGTAAGTTGTAGGATGTTGGTATTCGCTTTGTGGTCACAATACATTTTGAACTTGTAAAAACCTGAGAGTCGCAGTCTCAGAGCTTCGCTACCTTGCACTGACTTGTTCAATTCGTCACTCTATAAATACGAATGTGGGACAAATACGTTTATTCGTTTCCTGAATCTTGAAAAGGAAAGTGCTAAGAAAATATTTTAAAAAATATAAACAGATAGTATATCACACAAATTATAGTGAGTCAGTGTTATTTTGTTTGAGAGTGCTGGAGAAAAGTAAGTACATTATTTTTTATTAAATTTTAGTTTTGTACTCGTAGTTAGCAAAGATAGATAAATTACGCTAACCATGACTTTAGTTATTAGTAGTTAAATATTCAATCATGCAAAATTACACGAGTACTCCTCAATAGTTTCTTTTTGAAAGTTTTAGCATTCGGTAATATAATTACAGTGCAATCTCCGTAATTCGAGCTAATTGTTGCAAGAAGTTGTTCGAATTATGGAATGCTTTCGGAAAAATCAAAAAATATTTTTAATATACAGCTGCTGGATTTTCTGTCTTATTTAAATAATTTAATTTTGCCCACAGATGACTGATGCCATGTCCGAATCTAAAAAGAAATGTAGACAGTACAGTGTTGATTATTTGAAATTTGGCTTCATCCCATCATTGCCGGACAAACAATCGCCTATGTGCCTTTTATGCAACAAAGTTTTGGGCAATGACGCTATGAAACCATCTAAACTGCAAGATCATCTGAGAAGATGCCACCCTGATAAAACAGAGAAAGATTTGAAATACTTTCAAACACTCAAAGATAAATTTCAGAAGAGACCTACGCTGGACAGAATGTTCGCTTCGACGTCACAAAGAAATGATGACGGTTTGCGGGCGTCTTACAATATCTTGTTACTTATAGCAAAATCCGGAAAACCGCATACTATCGGAGAGAAGTTAATTTTCCCAGCCGTTGAAGAGGTTTTAAAAACTGTTTTACACAAACCTGCATCTGATATCATTAAAAGAATTCCCTTAAGCAACAATACTGTTGAAAGACGTATTGATGAAATGAGTTCTGATATTGAAAGCTTCTTATGTAATTATTTGCAAACGACCCATTTCTCTATACAACTGGACGAGTCAACTTTACCCGATAATGCAGCATTATTGCCATTATTATTGGCATATGTTCGTTTTATTATGAATCAAGAAATCTACGAAGAACTGCTCTTCGCAAGAACTTTGATAACCGACACTGAAGGTGAATCAATATTTCCTGTTTTGAAGGATTACTTCATTGAAAAAGCAATTCCTTTATCAAATATAATATCAGTAGCTACAGATGGAGCACCTGCCATGGTTGGACGTTATCGTGGATTTATAAGCTATTTAAAACAAAATGTGTCAGGGGTGTTAGCAATACATTGCGTCATCCAGTTGTGTGAAGAAAATGATGAACACTTTCATCAATTACTCCTTCACACTGAAGTACGCTGGCTGTCGAAAGGCTCATGTTTGACAAGATTTTTTGCACTTTTTGAGACTATTTTAGAATTTCTGGATACTAAAGATAAAATTTTAAAAGAAAACTTAATGAAGAGGAAAAACAGACATCGCCTATTTAACAGATTTGTTTACAGAATTTAATATGGTTAATTTGCAATTACAAGGCGACAGTTTAAATTTGATTAAAACAAAGTCCATCTTATCAGCGTTTCTTGCCAGAGTTAAACTAATGAAGCAAAATATTGGACGGGGCGAATTTTCTCAGTTCCCCAATTTGTCACAGACAAGCTGCCAGGAAGACGACGTTGCAACTGACGTTCAACATTTAAATGCCCTCTATTCAGATTTTGAATCTAGGTTTGAGAATATTTTGACTATGGTAATACCACCGCGGATAATTAATCCATATGGTGTCATAGAAGAAACGAATGTCATAATACAAGAGGAACTGACTGAACTAAGTACAAATGAAGAACTTAAGGTTCAGTTTAAAAACGGATATCAGCAATTCTGGCTGCAAAACAACATTCCCGTTACTTATCCCGTATTATGGAATATAGCGAGGAAATTTTTAATTACCTTTCCATCGTCACACCTAGTGGAAAGGGGGTTCAGCGCTGTTACCAATCTCCTAACGAAAAAAAGAAACAGACTGGGCATCATTAGCCGAGGAGATGTAAGATTAACCCTTACAAAATTGACGCCAAATATTGATAATTTATTATTAAAGCATCAGGTTCATCCTTCTCACTAAAAATATTGACTTATTGCTTATGTTTTTTTATTTATAGTTTATTTTATGTTTATTGGTGTCTGACCAATAAATGCCCGCATTGGGAATAAGTGCCCGGATTGACTTTTTAAAGAACCCCCCCTTTATAGAAAATATTTTTTTTTTAAATTATTCTGAAAATTCAGGGATAGGTACACACTAAAACTCGTTAATCTTTTGCCTATTTTTAGATAACTTAAACGTTTAAGAAGCGGAATTTAATCAAACTAACAGTGAAATTATTGTAGAACATACGTTTATGTTATAATTAATAAACGAACTCGCTTATTGTTTATGTTTATTTTAAGTTAAAAACTTTTTTTTATTATTTTTCACTTTTTTTTATTTTATTTTTATTTTTTTTCAATGCGGGCACTTATTCCCAATGTGGGCACTTATGTGTCAGACACCTGTTTAATGTTACGCATATTTTACATAACATATACAAAATTTTATTTTGAGTAGTTTTAATTTAAATTCAATTAATAAATGTATAAATTAACATGTGTTTTTATTTTAAGTTTTTAACACTAAACTTCACTACAGTTAGAATTTTACAGGAAATCAATATCACCCAACACGAAAAAACATGGCAAGGGGTCTACGACACAAAAAAGTTTGGGGAACTCTCATGTAGTGGTCAAGCATGATTTAATTAATACGTACGTAATATTCTAATTTTCTGAAGTATTACGTTTCAAGATATATAAGATGAAATGTGAGGCGGAACAACCATAACGCAGTTCAACAGAATAGAATAGACTTTTATTGGCCACAAACTCTAACTAAGAATGTAGCAAGTCAAGCCAGGTATGTACGTATAAAAATGGAATGAAAAAACATAAAGACGCTTACATAGACATAATAGTGGAAATCCTACGGGAAAATGTGCTTTATCCCTACCATGTGCAACGAGTGCAGGCCTTGTTACCAAAAGACTATCCTCGTAGACTAACATTCTGTCAGTGGTTTTTGCACAAAAACATTGGAAACCCGGATTTTTTTAAAAACACTCTAGCGACGGATGAATGTACTTTTACGCGAGACGGGATATTAAATTTCCTTAATACTCACACGTGGGCCCAAGAAAATCCTCATACCATTCGTGAAGGTCGTAATGAAGATTGTGTGGAAAGGACGACATTTTGAACACTTTCTTTAGATACAAAAAAAGTGCAGTGTGGGTTTTAAAAAGAAAAAGAATGTATGTATCATAATTGTGTTCCCTATGCATAAATGGATTTTTTTAATATGTTCAATAAAGTTTCACACACCAGGTGAAGCGCCGAGACAGTTATTGGTAAGCCCGTTTTTTTTTAATTTGCATTTTACGAGTATATTATCAAATAATGAAATAATACCTAAGAGCCAAAAATAACAAACTCCATCTTTATTTACACTGCGTTCCGTCGTAATTTGCGTCTGGCAATGCGGCGTTGTCAGATTTTATTTTACTTTAAATTAGCTTTCTTCTAAAAAAATGCCGTTTTGACCTCCATGTTATATGAAACTTTTTGCTTCTTTTAAACCGCTCTATCACCCATTTAAATAATGACTATCATAACGTTTACACCCTGTATAAACTCTTTGTAATCAAAAATTATTTTCTACTTTTTAGTTCGGTTAGGTATAGCCTGTTCTTTTAGTTTTTTAAACTAATATTTATTTTTGATTTCTTAGTTCGATTTATCAATTAGTTTTTTGCGGACATGTGGTATTGAAATATCTCACGAATAATTTCGTAATCTAACCATTTCATTTATAGTTTCGCTGTTGCATGGGGTTTTCCTGTTAACTTAGAGCAGAGTTCCCCAAACTTTTTTTGTCGTAGACCCCTTGCCATGTTTTTCCGTGTTGGGTAGACACCCTACTTACCTGATATTGATTTCCTGTAAATTTCTAACTGTAGTGAAGTTTAGTGTTAAAAACTTAAAAAAGTAAAAACACATGTTAATTATTTATTAATTGAATTTAAATTAAAACTACTCAAAATAAAATTTTGTATCTGTTATGTAAAATATACGTAACATTAAATAAACCAATAAGTGCCCGTATTGGGAATAAGTGCCCGCATTGAAAAAAAAAATTAGAGGGATAAAATAAAAAAAAGTGAAAAATAATAAAAAGAGTTTGTAATTATATTACATATTATATTATAAACAGGTGTCTGACCAATAAGTGCCCGCATTGGGAATAAGTCCCGCATTGAAAAAAAAATAAGAGGGATAAAATAAAAAAAGTGAAAAATAATAAAAAAAAGTTTTTTAAAAAAATATTTTCTATAAAGGGGGTTCTTTAAAAAAATCAATGCGGGCACTTATTCCCAATGCGGGCATTTATTGGTCAGACACCAATAAACATAAAATAAGCTATAAATAAAATAACATAAGCAATAAGTCAATATTTTAGTGAGAAGGATGAACCTGATCCTTTAATAATAAATTATCAACATTTGGCGTCAATTTTGTAAGGGTTAATCTTGAATTTCCTCGGCTAATGATGTCCAGTCTGTTTCTTTTTTTCGTTAGGAGATTGGTAACAGCGCTGAACCCCCTTTCCACTAGGTATGACGATGGAAAGGAAATTAAAAATTTCTTCGCTATATTCCATACTACGGGATAAGTAACGGGTATGTTCTTTGCAGCCAGAATTGCTGATAACCGTTTTTAAACTGAACCTTAAGTTCTTCGTTTGTACTTAGTTCAGTCAGTAGACCACCCAACACGGAAAAACGTGGCAAGGGGTCTACGACACAAAAAGTTTGGGGAACTCTGATCTACATCAACCGGCGAGAAAAAACTGAATAATCATTCCGGCAAAACCGGTAACGCCGACTGCCTGCGCCGTCCAGCCTTAATTGAGCTACTGTCAACTCAAGAGCATGATATTATTATGGAAGCTTATAGGCCCCGATCGGCGCTGGTTGCCGGTAAGCATGAAACCGGCTTCCGCTGTGTTTTCGCCTTTATAATGGAACCGGAAGCTGACCACTAGAACGACGCAAACGTACCAAGATAGTACGATTCTTCTTGACAAATACAGGAGGGAGTAATTTTTTTTTGGCTTTAGGACCTAATCCATGCAGCCAGAAACTAGGTTTGTTATATTTTACATTTCTAATTATGGACAAACACACCCATCCCATCCATGGCGAAGGCGAGATTCGAGCTCGCGGCCCGGCCGGCCGGCTGATCAGTAGCACGACACTCTGACCCACGCGGCCAACCGAGGTCCCTAGGAGGGAGTAATAAAATTCATTTTTGAAAACATTTTAAATAAAAGCAGAGTATAGGTACAGGAGTTTACTAAGTACTATAATATCAAAGCACATTTTCAGTTCATTTTTTGAATTTAGCTTATCTAAAATGTCCTAGAGATTGCGCAAAACATTGTTCCAAACAAAACCATTTTTCGAACCGTCGCGTCGCCCACAATTTTTAACGAATATTTTGGCTTAATTGCTTGAATCCCCTTCATTATGATGGCTTCAAAATTTGTCTTAAACTTGTACGAGCAACAACTAAAGTCGCTGAACTTCCACGCACTGGGACAGCTTCCCGTCTCAAAGCTCCAAGAATTTAATGGATACAACTCCATGACGTGGTTCCAACAAGACGGCACCACCAGAGAATGCCGCTGGTAGTCTTCTTTCCTCCAGCGTACCGGCAGAGATCAGATTATCACTCTGACTTCCATGTAGAGTGCTGTCATTAGCAACACTCTGGATCGGTTTAATCGTACAGGAAAGGAGGTCGTTCATATGTAGGAGGAACAGTGTCGGAGTCAAGAGCGATCCCTGGGGAACATCCGCGTTGACACTGTGGGATGAAGAGGAGAAACCGACAATTACGACGGCTATCTTGCGGCCAGAGAGGAAGACAACTGAATCAAAGAACTATAATTATTTTGTCAGATAGTCAAACCGCACCCAAAGCACTTGA